TATATACCATGGCTCAAATCTTCCTCTACCTAATAGAGATAGCCATTAGCCCTGTATGGTCACTGAGCACTAGAAATGCAGCTAGTCCAAATTGATTTGTCTTTTGAATATTAAATACACATTAGATTTTGAAACAAACAAAAAAATAATTTAAAATCTCTCATCAATATATTTAATATTGATTACATGTTGAAATATTTTATGTATTGGGTCTGGTAAAGTACATTAAAATTAATGTTACCAGTTTATTTTTACTTTTTAAAAATGTGGATAATAGAAAAAGTTAAATTACATACATGGCTTGCATTACATTTCTATTGGATTGCAAAGCTCTAAATAAAGATGAAAAATTTCATAATGCCATTTCTCTCAGGATAGAGTTTCTAGAAAGAGAGTTGTAAAAAATAAACATTAAAAGATTACTTACATGTTTTCTGGTCAAATTACTGGTGTTTGCCAAAGATTAAAATCTGTTTAATCTTTACTCTATAGTCGACTGCATTTTAGAATGGTCACGTAATAGATGTGCTACCTATATGCAGTCATGGGGCATTTGGCTAGTTTTCACTGAATTTTAGTAACATGTAAACCTTTAGTTCTAAAACTTTTGGTGGCTATTGAATAGAGAAACGACCTTAGGAGATCTCCTAGAGTACTTTCCAGAATACATTAACAAGATTGTATTCAATTAATTCAAAATGATAGCTACCACTTAAAACGATATCATTATTATTAAATACCATAATTAATCTAATGTCATTATATCAAAGAATGGTGATTTGCAGTGATTACATATTTGCAAATTTTCTCTCTATATTACTAGGCCCTGTCTGCAGACTAATTCATATTGGTGAGGTAAATAGAAGGATCAAAGAAAAATGACTATTATTTTAAAGTATTTATTCTGAACTATGTTGTTGTTATGTGTCATGGAGTCGGTCCCGACTTATAGCAACCCTGTACAGTGTTTCTGAGGCTGTAAATCTTTACCGGAGCAGAAAGCTTCATCTTGCTTCCTCGGAACAGCTGGTAATTTCAATCTGCTGACCCTAAGGGTTCGGAACCTGATTCATAAACCACTACGTATATAAAAAATATTCTGTAGATGGAGTTCACATTCCCACTTGGATTGTACTAAGTGTTAATATCTTCTCTAAGGATCTGCTTCTGGATATGACACCTTCAATGACTTTAAACATAATAAAATCTCATTTTATTCTCAAAGGCAGGAGCAAAGAACCCAAATGTTCCTCAATCAGTACAGTTCTCAGTCTTTTGACATATTTTAAAAAGGCATTACAAGATGGAAAGAAAGGGTCTTGGTCTGGGGAACAGAATTGTATAATTTGTTTTTAGGTGCCGTGGAGTCAGTCCTGAGTCATAACGTCCTTTATAGGGTTTCTGAAGCTTTAATTTGTCGAGGGAGCAGAAAGCCTCATCTTTCTCCTGCGGAGCAGCTGATGGGCTTGAACCGCGGTCTGTGGTTCACTCGTGGTTTGTGGTTCATAGTTGTTTATCGTATGGAGCCACCACACTTCTAAAATGTATTATGTTGTTGTTAAGTGCTGCCGAGTCAATTCTGACTCACGACGACCCTATATAGAGTTTCCAAGGAGCAGCTGGTGGGTTTGAACCACCAGCCTTTAAGTTAGCAGTCCAGTGCTTATTCTACAGCGCCACACCAGCCTTCCCCCCACCCCCAAAGAAATATTCAAAACATCCCCAGGTATTTACTGCTTCAAGAAAAAAGAAAGAAAACCAAATAGGGTAAATTGACTTAATCTTAGTTCCTTCTGTTACCTTTTAGAACTCTTGGGGGGAGGGGGGACTCTAAGAATCCCAAATAAAATCTGTGCAAACTTGTTTTTGTCCTATACACATTTCCTATGGAAAGGGCCTAGAACTAGAATAGATGAGAAAGGGACAAGTTACGTGCTGCTGTAGGCTAATGCGCCAGACTGCAAAGCTGTTTGAACTGCAAGGTCGGCGGTTCAAGCTCACCAGCTGCTCCTTGGAAACCCTATACAGGGTCGCTATGGGTCGGAATCGACTCGAAGGCACTTAACAACAACATAGAGGGGTTTGCTTTAGCAAACTAATGAATAATTCTCCCTCAGTTCCAGGTCAGGTGTAACACGCTTTCTGATTTGCTGTGTTCCACCACCCAATACTGTTTAGTTCTGCTTCCTCTACTTTGTCGGTTATCCTGTTTTTTTTTTTTGGTGTGTGTGTATGCTTCTGTCAGTTGCTTCCAACTTCCCTCTTCCTTGGCAGTTCTACTCTGTCTGTCTCTGATAAGTAATAGACCCCGAGCGGTTGTCTCCTTATTTAAGTGAAACTCATGGTGGAACTTGCTATCACGTTTATGGACATATCCTTTCCCCTCTTTTCGCGTTATTTGAATTTGCCACAATGCTGGATGGGTAGTCTTCATATTGTCTATTTCCGTCTAGAAACAATCACTTTGAAGGTGGTACTTTTAAGCATGTCAGATCATATTCTTGTATTGCCCTTCCTACGTGGTCTAAGTTTCGTTTTAATTTCCTCTCTAAAGATGTTGTGAGAAAGAAATGGTGTCTGTAGTGTTTTCTTACCTCCCCAAAGAAGAATATTCTGTAAAATTAAAAACACTTGTCAGTTATTTTGACATTATGATTGCCTTGGCCACTTCTTCCCTAGAATCAGCAGTGAACATGCACCCCCTGACGTAGCACCCTTTCCACCCTCTGCCAAGCCCCACATTCCAAGTTCTCTCTTGAATATAACTCCAGATATTCTTACAACCCGTGTTGTATCCGATGAAGATTTGGAGCTTACTCCTTCCAGTACTCTTCTTCACCACTAAATTCTAAAATCTCTTTTAGTTTTGTTGTAGAGTTGCAGACTGGTAAGTTTTTTTTCTTAAAACTTGCCTTAAATCAGTATGCCTGACACTTTGACATTCGGAATCTCAGGACAGAGAGTAGGTTGGCCAGTAAGGGTCCAAGACACCCGGGACTATTTATAAAAAGAATATCGGCCCCAGGGAACGGCGGAGAAAGGCAGCCAAGCTGGGGTCTGAGATCCGAGGCCCCAGAGGAAGCAGCTTTCTCGACTTGGCACTCGAATGCGGCGAGCTCAGGGCAGGGCCCCGACTCCTCCGACCCCAGAGTCGCCGGCGTAAGGAGCCCCCTCCCGCTGGGCAGGGCCAGTCCCAAGGGGGAAGCCCGGCCAGGCCAGGGCCGAGGGCGCAGCGCCGCGGCCTCCGAATCCTCCTCAGGGCGCCGCGCGGCCAGGCCGGTGGGTCGCGGCGGCCCGCGGCCCCT